TTGTTGAGAGAATTTGCGCAGGGCAGTTGTGTATTGGATCCCATTCACTCCCATATTAGAACTTATTCTCATGATCCAACTTTATCTCGACCAATCCTATTCCTACTAGGACTTTGAACATAACTCGTTATCAGACCGTATTCAATCTCAGCGTCGTGATCCCGTCGAGACTCCCTCTCATAACAGGATTCGTCCACATTCCACTTTCCGATAGGATATGGCCAACTTCGACCGCGCGGCCCATGGGCTGATATCTTCTAATGACATCTGTTTATAACTTCTAGGCCGAGGATGAATCTAAATTTGACCTATCCAACATTGGGCCGAAAAAGATCTAACTCAGCCCAAAACAGTATTTTTTGGGCCCAAACATTGCCCCATCACTTCTGAGGTCGTAGACCTATACTCCTTAGTTCGAGCCTCGACCTTGAAGAAGTGAAACTGACTCTCGGGAACTGCCACCACGCGCACTTATGAGACGTGATCCTATAATCTTGATTTCCAAACCGTCATGCCGCGTGTCAACCCCCTAGTTACCCTAGTAGCCTTTAATCATGATCCTCGAAACCATGCGACCGCCGAAGCGTCTCTCTTGCATTAAAACCGTCGTAACACACCATCGTGCGTCCTCAATCCGCGAAAACCTCGATCCTCTCGCCTTGATTTTCTGATCATGTACAATGATTAGTATATCTCCCACTTGATTTTACCCTTGATTTTGAAAACCAACCGTTTAGCCTTCCGTTCCCAAATGCTTATAAATACCTAGATCTCTTCCATTTGTACCTTACGCTCTCTTAAACCTTTGAAATTTTCTTGCCGTTCTGTTTTCTTTTAAAACCTTAAAAAAACCAGGGATTCTGACACTTTCATATCAGAAATTTCTAACCTTTCCTCAATGGCCTCCTTTGTCTCACAACTTTCTTCTGAGTGCAACAAGTGCAAGGATTTCATCGATCAACACGCTATCAAGACTCTGCGTTTCGAGGGTGAGTCAAACACTACTCACCAAGTTCTGGGCATCTTCAAGGATACGGTGCCGTCATCCATCACCAACCTATTCAAAAATATTGTTTGGCAAGTTTACTGCAAGGATTCGATTGGTCGAAGTGGTGCCAAACAAAACCCCAAGGATCCTGGCTTTCGCCTAATGCGAACTAGGTGATATGGGTCGTTCGAATGGAAAGGTTCTTCGGTAAAGAGTGGAAAACTCTTGGTATTTATGACGCTATCAAGTTCTCGACTATGGAGATTACAATGGATAAAGAGCTCATCATGGCAGCTCTTAGCCTCTGGTGCTCGGCTACCAACACCATGGTCCTTCCATTTAGTCCTATGACTCCTACCATCCTCGACATCTCGGCTATCATTGGGACTTCTCTTTCTGGCATCCCAGTCGACGCTACCCTTATTGGATACCCCTCTAACCTTAACCTCAAGGCGTTGTTTGACAATTGGGCCTTCGAGACATTGAGCTAGGAAGGTCAAGAGCCTTCAAAAGTCGATGTTCAGAAATTACACAAGAATTTTCTGAACTACAACACCATTATCCACCATTTTGCTGGTCGAGGAGAGGCGAGTCTTCTGAAAAGGAAACATGAGGCCTTCCTATTTTACTGGTATAACAAATTCATTTGTTGTACCAAGTCAAATAAATGCTTGGTCAAGAACATGCCGATAGCGGAAGCCCTGCCTAGTCATTCTCTAGCGCTCAGCCCCGCCATCCTCGCCAACCTTCTTCGTTGCTTGGTAAAAACAACTCTCAACAAGATTGACCCGCACCAGAATGGACCCCTCTGGGTGTTCCAACTCTGGCTGCAAGTTTATTTCTCCATGTTTCGGCTAGAAGTCTCCGACCTCTAGTTTACTGTAGCGTTCGGGCTTCAATTGGCCTCTCGACCAGTACCCCCTCACCGAGCTAAAGAAGTCTTCAAACACCTCTTCAGCCTGGATGTCATTTCTGATGACGAATTTTTGATATCTTGTCGTCAAGAATATCCTTGCTCTACCAAGCTTCCCACATCGACTTAGAGTGACAGCGAGGATGCCGCATTTCGTCAAAACTAGGGGTCGTTCGTGTTAACTTGCCACCTTCCCCTTGGTTGTGATGCTCATCAGGCGAGTTGGGAATTTTATCACCCCCATTTTGCCGCCCGGCAGCTCAGTTACCTCCAAGGTTGCCCATTGCCTTTACTTTCTTCTCGCTCCCTTCTAACCTGAGGACGCGACTTTGGTTCTTCAGAAAGGGAGTGTAGAGACGCCGAGAAAGAATTTCAGGAACGATGTAGGAAATTTCATCTTCAACCAAATTCTCCTGAATCTCTCGGCACTGATATCTTCAGCGACTGGTGGGAAGAATATACGCATGACTTTTTTGGCACTTTGGTCGAGGAAGTAGTCAACAATTTTTTTTTTACCGGGCCAAGAAACCCTCCGCCCCCTAATCTAAAGAGGCACCCCAAGGTATACCCCCGTCTCCACCTATATTTTTTCTTTTAGACATTTGAGTAATTCAACTAACAGGGCTTCGCTTTCTTAGGTGGTCGAGTACTAAAACAGGCGGACGTGGTCACCCTTGTAATGGTCAAGAAAAAATTGGCCCTTTCCTCCAAGAAGACCAAAACCACCGCACAAAACCTACAGAGCAAACGACTTCACCCGATCATCGAGACGACGGGTGAAACTCCCCGTCCCCTGAAATACGTCAAGAAATTGGCAAAGAAAGGAGCTCGGGAGATTCATGTTATCTCCAGCCACACCACTAGGACGATCGCCCCGAGTGCCTCTCCTTCCGCTCCCGTTGCTCAAACTACGACGAATAATCGACCTTCTCAGGCTGGCCCGGCAACCCAAGCTCAACCAACACCTGAGGTCCCCGAGGTAGTGGTTGAGCCGGTTGCTGCACCCTCGGTTGACTTACATGCAGCTCCAGGGTCAACAGGAGTACCCGTTCTGGGAAGACGACTTCTTCGATTATGAATGATCTCTCCAGGAATCCAAAGCATTCGGTGGTCATCTTAGAAGGGGTATGATTATGCTGTCAAATCCCTTTGCTTATTAAGTAACAAACAATTATTAACACTTTTGTTTTAGGATGATGAGAGTGACAAGACTCTGCTGGCGAGTCGCTCTCGACCAACCCAAGCTCATTCCATTGATCCTTCCACCGTGGTTGAGGCAGCCGATCAGGTTGATCCTCCTGTGGCCGATCGCGGAAAGAGGCCTATGGTCGAGCCTGAAGCGACGTCAGAAACTCCAATTCATTCTCAGGACCAAGACCTCGGCATCCCTCCTCAAGAAGTGACCTCGACTTTTGTAAGGCTCGATTACTTTCTATTGTCAATTTGTTATAACATGTCTCAACCGAGAAAATATTAAATGTCAGGTGCCAAGTTATTCATTTCACCGAAAATTTTATGTGCCGAAAGGTGTTATCTATATTTCTTGGCCACCTCAGTGGCCATCGAACATAAATAACCTTCATTGGCTGCATGAATTAAGAAGCAGTCTGAAACATTAGGCTCGGCCATTAAGTTCTTTAGATTTGAGCAATGAACCTGAAGACATGGCCGAAGTCTCCTCTCGACAGGTCTAAAACAAAAACCTTCTTGCTCTATTCTTTTGTGATTTTCCTTGTGCTTAAACTGTTTTCATGTGCAGCCTTCATGGGAAGTCGAGTTCGATGCTCTTCTTTCAAGCACTTCTAGAGCGGCTGGTCATTCGGCAGCTACAACTGAACCTACCGAATTAGCTATTTTTGTTCGGTTGTAAGAAGTTTTGTCTCTCTTAGCTTCACAAGTCCTCGAGCGTAAAGGTCTTGACTTGTTGGATGCATGCCTAAACGACCTCGGAAGTGATGGTCAATTGAGCGCCAAAGCTATCGTTCAAACGTCGTCTGCCTTGGAGTGAGTTCGGGAATCCTTCAGTATTTTTTAGAACACTCTTCAAGCTGACAATGACTTGAGAGCTTCAATGGCCGTTCAAGACGCTCTTCGTCCAAAGATCGACACTTTAAAGGTGAAAAATGAGGCCCTGGCTAACCTTGATCGTCAAATGGCCAAACTGGCAAAACGAAGGTCGGCCATTGCTTCTGATCTTGCGAGGGACTTTGAGTCGGGCGGAAAATCTTGTTTAACCGAATATGCGACAAACGCAAAGAGAGTCGAGCAGCTAAAGATGGACAAGAAGAACCGGCAAGCCGAGGTCATAATGGGCGAGGTGAGGTGGTTGGAGCTGAAGGCCCTTCTTGGAACTCTTCTTCCTTCATCACCTTATAATTATTTGACTGTAAACCGACTTATCAATGAAATGAAACAAGCTTTTATTGACTAGGTAGTATTTTTTAAGAACTTTCCATTGATTGGCAACTTGTGAATAATACCGGATCGATCTCTAAGATGATATGCCCCCTTGCCAAGAACCTTATGGACAACGAACGATCCTTCCCAATTCGGCGACCATTTGCCGAACCTGGGGTATTTAATTCCTACGAGTAACACAGTTTGCCAAACTAACTCCCCCTTGCCAAACGTTTTTTGTTTGACTTTTTGATTATAAGCTCGCTCGGTAATTTTCTTTTGTGCCACTAGAAGATTGTAAGCGTCAAGCCAATTTTCTTCCAAATCTTCTAACTCTTGTAACATGGCCTGGTTGTATTCGACGTTGGACAAACTACTCTGCTCGCGTGTAAAGAATTTATACTTGGCTCGACTGGTAACATCGCATCATGTCCATAGGTTAACGCATATGGGGTGGTCCTCGTTGCCGACCGGGGTGAAGTCCGGTATACCCATAAGGCTTCATTCAATTTTAAATGCCACATGCCAGGTCTTTCTTTTATCATTTTTTCGAGAATGCCGATCAAAACCTTATTACTTGCTTCGGCTTGTCCATTCGCTTGTGGATAGTATGGTGGACTGCTCAAGCCAAATTTTTAAGCTCGTCGTATACTCTTTGAACCTTTCAGCTGTGAAGATTGTGCCATTATCAGTTATGATCGTTTATGGTATGCCAAATCTGGTCACAATATGTTCCTCCACAAAATCGCAAACCTCCTTGGATGTTAATTCGGCGTATGATTTTGGTTTGACCCATTTAGTGAAATAATCAGTTGCCACAAGTATCCATGCATGTTTCGTTGCTTCAGAAGATGGCATAATTTTTCCGATTACATCCATTGCCCATCCTTTGAACGACCAAGGTTTGGTGACCGAATGAAATAATTCGGTCGGGGCTCTTTGGATGGGTCCATGAATTTGACACTGGATGCACCCTCGCGCATACTCAATACAATCTTTCAATATGCTTGGCCAGAAGAAACCGTGCTGGCAAAGTAGCCAACGCATCTTGCGTCCTGATTGATGGGCTCCGTAAATTCCTTCGTGTACCTCTGTGATTGCTTGGGCGGCTTCTGGCAGGTCGAGGCATAACAGCAATAAACCATCCTCGCCCTTTCGATACAACTCATTCTGGTACGAGATGTAGTTTGTGGCATGGACCTTTGTCTTTCGGTCGTGTTTGTCTATGGGATTATCAAGGCCTTGCATAATTGGCCTTTTCCAGTCGTTTGGTAGTGGCTCGACTGCGCAAACATCTACAAGATCCTCCTGTTCCAACAACAAAGGTAAGGACATTACTCGTGTACGGATGACTTGGTCGCGCTGGAAGACTTGTTAATTAACCAAAGCTGGATACGATTGCCGTAAAACAGGTATCATTCGGCTAAACTCACCCCCTAGGAGTTGTGCTCCGGAGGCTATTTGAGCGAGTTCGTTTGCGACGGTGTTCCGAACACGAAAAATATGATTGAACGAGATATCTTCGAAAGACTCGGCCAAGTAACTGGCAGCCATGTGATAGGGCGCCAGAGTGCAACTCATGCACCAAAAAGTTCCATTGAGTTGGTTAATCACAAGCTCTGAATCACCGAAGACGAGTGCACGAGCGGCACGCAAATCATGAAGCATGCTAAGGCCGATAACAAGGGCTTTGTATTCGGCCTGATTGTTTGCACAATCGAAATCCAACTTGAGGGAAAAGAACCAACGGTGTTGGTATGGATACTGAATTACGACCCCCACGTCAGCCGATGTCGACGTACTAGAACCATCAAAATACATCATCCAATAATTGTCACGTGTTCCTACCATTCTGATTTCAACATCGTTGCCCCCGAACCCATATGGAGAGGGGTGTTGGGCTAAGAAATCAGCAAGCGCTTGTCCTTTGACGACTTTTTGTGGAACGTACTACAGACTAAACTCAGATAGTGCCAGTGTCCATTTCTCGATTCGGCCTTTGACTATTAGCCGAGTAAGAATATATCGAATGACTTCCGTCTGGGAAATGACCTGAGTAACGGATGGGAGCATATAGTCCCGGAGTTTTGATGCGGAGAAAAACAAAGCCAAGCAAGGCTTCTCGACAGGTGAATAATTGATCTCTAGAGTATTGAGGTTTCGGCTGAGATAGAAAATAGATTGTTCTCGCCCAGCATCAGTATCTTGCGCGAGGAGGCAACCGATGGATTCTTCAGCCACTAAAATGTAAAGCTTAAGGGGTTTATCACGTTGAGGCGGTACGAGGACGGGCGGAGTTGCAAGAGCTACCTTGATTTGCGTGAAAGCCGCTCGATGTTCTTCATGGCACTCAAACTTATCTGGGTCCTTAAGTTTCAAAAGCGTAGGAATGCCATCATTTTGCCAGCGGAATTAGCTATGAAGCGGCAAAGAAAATTTATTTTCCCGAGCAAGGACTGGAGTTATTTTTTGGTCGTCGAGGGTGGTGCGTCAATAATCGCACGAGCTTTGTTCGCGTCTACCTCGATGCCGCGATGGTGGACAAGAAAACCTAAGAAATTACCGATCGACACACCAAAGGTGCATTTGGTCGGGTTCATCTTAAACTTATGTCAACACATGCAAAGGAAAGCTTGCCGAAGATCATCAATAAGCGTTCGGTGACTTTTTGATTTGACCACGACGTCATCAATATACACTTATATGGTTGTGCCGATCAAGTCATGAAAAATAATGTTCATCGCGCGTTGATATGTGGCAGCAACGTTTTTTATACCGAATGGAATGACTACCCACTCGTAGGTTCCAAGTGCCCCCAGGCAGCGGAAAGCATTTTTATGAACATCGGCCTCGGTAATAAATATCTGGTTATAACCGGCATGTCCATCCATGAATGACAGCATGTCATGATTAGTCGCGGCGTCGATTAGCAAATCTGAAATTGGCATGGGATATGCATCCTTGGGTGTTGCCAGATTCAGATTTCGAAAATCAATGCAAATGCGTATGGCCCCATTTTTCTTTAGCATTGGTACGATATTCGCCAACCATTCGACGTATCGAGTAGTTCGGAGAAACCCGGCATTTAAAAGTCAACAATTTCATCTTTTATGCCGAGCTGTACTTCGGTCGAGAATCGTCGAGGAGGTTGTCAAAAATGCTTGCAACCAGGCGTAATTCATGCTCGACAAGGGTTCGATCAAGGCCAGGCATCTCATGATAGCTCCAAGCAAAACAGTCTTTAAACTCGCCGTGTAAGTTACAAAGTTCAGATTTGATAGAACGGGGCAACAAAGCACTAATAAATAGTGGCCGAGGGTCATCAACTGTCCCAACATTTATTTCCTCCAACGGATCTTTGACTTAAGGCCGACTGTCTTCAGGTTCGGCCGGGGCGGCTTGAACTTTATCAAAAGATAAAACAGGACCATTGTCTCCTTCAGCTAGGAACTTTACGAGGTTAACACCTGAATTCGACTTTTTAGATATCGCATACCAATGAGCCAGTAATCGTTACATGGTCGATGAAACTGCGGCTCGGTGTTTGGTCTGACTAATGTTAGACATCGGGATCGGAAACGAAGCTAGCCAATCCGAGTATCGTCGAATCGTGGTGAACAGTTTCGACGCCAACCTCGATGGCCTTCTGAACAGATATCTGAGTTGGTCTTCCTTCCTCATTGAAACCTTGTAAGGTGATGTAACCGGCGTGGTCATCATAATATCGTGCTTGGATCATGCTAGCTTCGAATGGCTGAGCATCAGCCAGATGCACAACAACCGATTTGTCGTCCCAAAAGATGAGAACTTGATACAATGATAAAGGAATACAGTTTGTTTGATAAATCCAATCTCATTCGAGCAGTGCATTATACTCGGTCTTGGAGTCGACGATGAAAAAAGCGGTCATGTGATTACGACCGACAATGTTCACTTCTAGTGGAAGCACCTCTTTGGTTTTAGATTTATCCTCGACGAAACTGCTCATGGTGATCCCTGATGGAATAAGTTTGTCGTTAGAGTGACGTAACGCCTTCATGATGGTTACAGGCATATTAATAGTTGCCCCACAATCAAGGAAAATTTTGGAGACTGAGTATCCTTTGATATGAGCTGTTACATACAACGGCTTTAGATGATGAAGATTAACCGGGGAAGAACAGGGAAACAAGATGTCCAATTTATCGTCGCCGTTTGTTTATTCTTCAGTGGTAGTAACAAAATCAACTTGTGTTACTTCCTCGGCGACCATATCACCATCCAAGGAACTTGGTTGGTGTGTAGTCAGCTGGAATTCAGCAGGTAAAACATGGACCATGCTAATTTCCATATTTTCAATGACTGAATGGCCTATTGGATCCTGGTCATCATTTTCCGGGTTGGTGAAGATTATAGCATCATGTGTTAGAGCATTCTTGGTCTGATTACTGTGTGTCTCAACAAGCTCTTGCACTTATGCCATATTATCTGACTCTCTGTCCTTTTGACTATCGTCATCGGGCTCGCATGCAATTGGTGTCTGATTCTGCTTTTGCCGCATTTTACGAGCTCGTTCCTCATAGGCGATCCGGGTGTTCCTTGTATCCAGGTAGGTGTCCAAACGTGCCACCCGATCTTTCTCATCGACTGTTAAACTGAATAAAGATACAGCCGAAAAGACTTCGAAGTGATATCGAAAGTGTTGAAGGTATTCGAGAGAAAAAAGGAGTTCGACTGTGTCAATGTCCATGTATGGGTCAACCTCAAAGCCGAGAACCTTAGCCTCTCGAATGTGCTGGAATCTAGCTTTCATTGCTAGATCAGTGGTTTTTTGGATGATCTGCTCAGCATCGAGGCAAGTTAATGCTAGGTTAAGAGCTTCTTAGCATGCCTTGGGCAAACCATACAAATCGTTAGCGGAATATTTCTTATGAAACTCTTTCATATATTCTAATGATTCATCGAGAAATGGGGGGTGCAGATTCTGTCGAACTCTGATTAGCGGTTCTTTCAAAGGTAACGGGGGCAGTTGGCTTTCGGCATCTTTCGTAAATTGCTCGAAACGAGCTTTTATCTCCCCGGGCCGAATAAGGAGTTTGATGCGCTTCTCGGACTCTTCAATGGTAGTTTCGAAGTCGCGATTGGTTTCCTTCTACCCTTGTAATTCAGCCATGATTGTTGGGGTTGGCCGATCATCTCCGCTCCCTACCGTCTCTTTCGGCTGCCATTTAGTGGCCGAAACAGGCTAGGCCGCTTGCCGTCGAGCCAAGCTATCTATACGCTGACGTCGACGTTTCTGAGATTTAGAAAGTACGGTATACATGTCGGTGGGAGAATTGTAGTTGTACCAACGTTGGTCACATGGTACGGGTGGCCTAAAGGTTTTTGGATTTGCCGATGAACTCGAGCTACTGGAATTACGTGAATAATAATCCTTGTTATAAAACGGTTCGTCGAAATCAAGGCGTCGTCTGACCAATGTAGAACCATCTGTCTGTTTCCTTGGGCCGAGCCTATCGAATACTTTCTGGCGCTGGCTTTCACTAGGTTCCTTTGAAGGTTCCGCCATGATCGTCGATTGGTGTCGTGACGGCAGCATCTGCGTCTGAGGTAGTTTCTCCTTTGGCTCGGTTAATACAACGCGTGTCTTACAATTGCTACACAAAACTATCGGCCCGTCATTTTCTTCTTCGCTGGAGTCTGACATGGACTTAACTATGGCCTGTCCTGAGAGTTCGGTAGGTGGCGTATTGGAAAATAGGTCGATCTTGAGTCGAGGCTGGGAACCTTTCTTTAAGACGTGTTGTACTATCAGCCCGCCATTTTCTTCTTCGCTGTAGTTTGACATAGATTCAACTATGGTCGGTCATGAGAGCTCGGTAGGTGACGCATTGGAAAACAGGTCGATCTTGAGTCGAGGCTGGGAGCTTTGCTTTAGGATGTGTTGTACTGGGGCAAACCCGACCTTCTTTTTTCCTTTACTCTTAGGCAAACGAGCGTCTACCATGCCAACTGTTGCCGAAGGGAATGGATCCGTATCAACCGTCATGCGTTTTTCAGGAAATTTTAACTTGCCTTTGTCAATCCAGCTCTGGATATCATCACGAAATATGAAACAATTGTTTGTGGCGTGCTTGGTCGAGTTATGATATTTGCAATACGTCTTTCCTTTAAGCTCTTCGGCCTTGGGAATGTTATGCCCTGGCCGAAGTTTGGTGTTTTTTGCTAATAACAATTGATCGAAAATTGCTTCGGCCTTTGTGATGTCAAAAGTGTAGACTTTCGATGTTTTCATTGTCTCTTCAGTGACTGAGCGGGTTTTGAAATTCTTGAAATTAATTTGAGTCAGAGTCAATGCCTTGCAAACGTATGGCTTATCTATTACAATCTCGGTCGCGTTGATGCTGACATATTGAGAATCCTCACCTTCGGTCGATGTGTAGTTGACTGTGGGATTTTTGTAAATCGTTCCTCATGATGGGGATTTCGAGATCTTCTCTTCTCGAAGCAAATATCATATTGCTCGACATGCTAGGGCTAATTCATACATATCCCGAAAGTTTGCCCCCAAGAATTTCTTTTTTTTATTCTACATCGAGTTCGTTCAAAGCAAGCCTAACAAACTCGACTTCAGGGAGAGGTACTCGGCACCAATTCCTAGCCGATTTAAATCTGGTAAGATAATCAATTGGTAACTCATCAGATGCTTGATCATCCTCGCCACTGAGGAAACTGACATTTCCATCCCTGTCCGATAAAATTACTAGTGAAATTTCTCGACATGAACTTTGTAGTTTTAGCACTGGATCCCACTGGGCGTGCCAAAATGTTGACCCTAAAAACTAACAAGCCTACGTGGCATGCATGCCGAGTAATCTATGAGCTAACTACGTCTTTCGGTTGAATGTGGGGTGTGCCAACTCGACGGCCGAGCTCGACCGATGAGTAAATATGTTGACGTTGCGTTGGGTGCGCAGCTGACTTCGTCTTGCGATTGCGACCGAGGAAGGAACACGTCTCGGCCTCTTGGGTTCTCGAACCTGAAGACAAGGCCACTATTCTTACGAAGTTCACAAATCATCGTCGTCAGATTCGGTCACAGTGATGGTATTCGTCAGAGTAAACTCACGCCGAATCGACACCAAAGTGTAAGGGCACAAATACTCAAAGCGGATATAAGTCTTAACAGTAAACGTGGTTCGGCCGTTGAAATGCCGAACTCTAAATCCCACTTGAGAGTATCCAATCATAAAATAACTCGGCGTGCAATGTGCCAAGCCCAAAAAACTGTAACACCTCACTTCGTCGAGAAGGCTGATGAGATGACCTCGACCAATAAGGATTCGGAAACCCTTCTCGATCGAGACTTGGATAGATAACCAGTCGCCCTCGACGCAGTGCTATTTATGCCAACTGAAGATGCTATGAGATCGGCTGATTCTATGGCAATAGTGTTGTTTATGCCAACTGAAGATATCACTGGTTGCCTTCACAGTGCTGTTTATCCAAACTAAAGGTATGTCGGCAAAAAGAGAAAAGAAAAAATCTCAAGATTGTTGAGAGAATTTGCGCAGGGCAGTTGTGTGTTGAATTGGAGGGGGTTGTTTCGATGTCTTCCCTCCCTATTTATATCAGCCAACCTATATTGGATCTCATTCACTCCCAGATTAGAACTCCTACTCATGATCCAACTTTATCTCGACCAATCCTATTCCTACTAGGACTTTGAACATAACTCGTTATCAGACCGTATTCAATCTCAGCATCCTGATCCCATCGAGACTCCCTCTCATAACAGAATTCGTCCACATTCCACTTTCCAATAGGATATGGCCAACTTCGACCGCGACCCATGGGCTGAATATCTTCTAATGACACCTGTTTACAACTTCTGGGCCAATGATGAATCTAAACTCGGCCTATCCAACACTTGGCCGAAAAAAATCTAACTCAACCCAAAACAGTATTTTTTGGGCCCAAACAGCATGTTAAAAACATAAACAAGTAATGCCCAATACTTCACCGTTTTTTCTTGAGAGAAAATGCTCAT